CAAAGGGCTGGCTGGCACTAGAAGTTTTCTTTGGGCCCATGGTGGTTTATTTAGCAGTTACAAGCACTAAAAACAATGGAATAATACAAAATGTATCGCATGTATGCGTGGAATCATCCGCACTGGCTTTGTAAACAATGGCACACTGACCACACTGGAGTGGCCGGGTGGGCCGAGCTGCTCAGGCCGCGTGGACGCATTCTGGACTAATGTCCTTAACTGAGTTTTTTATCGTTAGCCAGTATTTTGATGCAAAAACATATCAGTATCTGGTTTTATTGCTATCTGATGGCATTAACTAAGGGTCCACTGTATATTGAAAAATAACAGAATAGAGGAAATCAGCTCTAATATATATTATTTAGATATGAATACTGGTCAGAGAGCCCATCGTAAATCTGAGGCGTCAGTAAACGAGTACATGGCTAAGTGAGGAGAGGCTGTACAGTAGGGCTTCACTTTGTGGGATTTTGCCTTACGGCGTTCTGCTAATACGGCGATCTCAAATTATGACCAAAACTTTCTATACGGCAAGTGGTCTTTCAGATACAGCTCGCGCCACCCAGTTTGTTTACATTTTCCATGAGCACATCTCTATTATGTAATAATAATCACTCTTGGGCACATTAAATGTGCCCAAGTGGTTGCTGGGTGGAGGGAAAACATTATGTAATACTAATAATAATTACTCTTGGGCATATTAAATGTTTTATTTTATGTTAATATAGACATTTTCATTAATCCATCTATGATATTCTCTTCAAAATTATATAAGAAACACGTTATATAGCATATAAACATTTTGTTTATATACTATGGAGGTGTGGTAGCTGGGCTGAGGGAAAACATTACGTCACTCCCCTTAATAAATAACACTTTTGTTTACAATTCTCGGCATGAATTATTCGTTATTTCTCCCTTTGTTTGTGATGACATCTAAAGGTAGTTGTTATAAACGATTAAACTCAATGGTAATAATATGGCTCTGGGCCACATTAAATATTGTGTAGCTATGTAGGTAGGTGTAGGTTTGTAACCCAGGTGGACTACGTATCTGCATTATTATTATACAGTCGACTCGACTAACGGCGGCATTAAGTAATGGCAATTTCGTCTAATGGCGCTTTTTGCCATAGAAAAAATGCCTTAACCAACGGCGAAAAACTTAACCAACGACGTTTGTCGGGAATGTGTTGATGTGCCCAGAGCGTGGCCTGAGTGGGCCCAGCCACTCCAAGAGTCAGTGTGCCATTGTTTACAAGCTGTTGTGGTCAGTTTCCACGTGTACCTCCCATATATTTTGGATTATTCCACTATTTCTAATGCTTGTAATCGCTAAATATGCCACCATGGGTCCCAAGAAAGCTTCTAGTGCCAAGCCTATGTTAAAAGGGGTGAGAATTATGATGGAAATGAAGGAGATCATTGAAAAATACGAGAGTGGAGTGCGTATGGCTGAGTTGGAGAGGCAATACAACAAATCACATTCAACCATCAGTACTATCTTGGCGAACAGACAGGCAATCAAGGAAGCTGTTGTTGCGAAAGGTTCAAGTATGTTTTCAAAACGGAGGTCACAAATAGTTGAAGAGGTAGAGAGACTGTTATTGGTATGGATAAACGAAAAACAATTATCAGGAGATAGTGTTTCTCAGTCTGTAATTTGTGAAAAGGCAAGGAAGTAGCATGATGATCTCATTAAGAAAATGCCTCAAAATAGTGCTGCTGCTGATGAATTTAAGGCCAGCAAAGGCTGGGTTGAGAGATTTAAGATTCGTAGTGGCATACACAGTGTGGCAAGGCATGGTGAGGCAGCCAGTTCAGACAAAAATGCAGCTGAAAAATATGTGAAGGACTTTAAGAAATACATAGAGACTGAAAACCTAAAACCTGAACAAGTGTTTCATTGTGATGAGACAGACCTGTTTTGGAAGAAAATGCCAAACAGGACCTACATTACTCAGGAGGAAAAGGCACTCCCAGGACATAAGCCTATTTGAAAGACAGGCTGACATTAATGTTGTGTAGTAATGCTAGTGGTGATTGCAAAGTGAAGCCTTTATTAGTGTATCACTCAAACTCCCAGAGTGTTCAGGAAAAACAATATTGTCAAGGGTAATTTATGTGTGCTGTGGAGATCAAACAGTAAGGCATGGGTCACTAGAGTATTTTTCTTGGGCTGGTTTTATGGTGTGTTTGGCTCCACTATGACAAAATACCTCCAGGAAAAGAAATTGTCACTCAAGTGCCTCCTGGTAATGGACAATGCTCCTGCTCATCCTCACGACTTGCAAGAGGAAATTGCAGGGGAGTTTGGTGAAGTTTTTTCCTCCTAATACAACTCCTCTCCTCCAGCCCATGGACCAGCAGGTCATTTCAAACTTCAAAAAATTCTACACAAAAGCAGTGTTTCAAAAGTGCTTTGAAGTGACCTCAGAGACTCAATTGACCCTAAGAGAGTTTTGGAAAGATCACTTCAATATCCTCAGTTGTGTAAACCTTATAGGTAAGGCTTGGGAGGGAGTGACTAAGAGGACCTTGTACTCTGCTTGGAAGAAACTGTGGCCAGAATGTGAAGAACAGAGGGATGTTGAAGGGTTTGGGGCTAACCCTCAGGAGGCTATGTCAGTGGTGGAAGCTATTGTGTCATTGGGGAAGATCTTGGGGTTGGAGGTTTGTGACGAGGATGTGGAAGAGTTGGTGCAGAACGACGAGGAAGAACTAACCACTGGAGACCTGCAAGAGCTTCAGGTGCAACAGCAACAGATCGCATCTTAGGAATGTTCTTCAGACCAGGATGAAGAGAGACAGAGGAAGATGTATTCGTCAAGGATTAGTGAAATGTGTTCAATGTTTACAAAGGTGCAAGCATTTATTGAAGAATTTTATCCTGTCACCAAAGTTGCAAGCTGCATTGGCAACATGTCCAATGACACTCTTGTGTCCCATTTTAGGGAAATCCTAAGGGCACGTGAGAAACAGAGCTCTCTGGACAGCTATTTTGTGCGACAGGGGTCCAGTGACTCTCAAGCTGGTCCTAGTGGCATTAAAAAACCAAGGAGGAAGGTAACCCCACCAAAGGACTTGGTATCTGAAGTCCTTCTGGAAGGGGATTCTCCTTCCAAGCAATAGACAATTCTTAATTTCCCCTGCTGCTGGCACATCACTCATCAACCCAAAAACTCCACATATAAAGGAAGTTTCATTTAATTTTTTTTTTGCATTGTCCAATTACTTTCCATATTATGGAAATTATATCAGCATGAAAATTTTTTTTTCAGCCTTTGGGGGGTCACGAACAGATTAATTCTATATTTCCATTACTTTCTTATGGGGTGCAAAATTAAACACGAGCCTAGAGCAAGTCCCTACATGGAAATAGAATTATTTTCCGTATGGTTGGGGTGCCATGTAACTGATCAATTATTTATATGGTACTGTATAGTAAATTATAATTGCTGCATACAGTACACATTAAAATCACTAATAATGGTGCTTTAGTATCGTTGAGTGCCATTAATGATAATAATAACACACAATAATAATCACTCTGAGGAGCATAAAATATCAGATAAAACGTTAATATAGACATTTTGCTTAATCTATCTAAATACACCCCACAGTAAAATAGATTAACATAAATATTAAATATGAGATGTGGTAGCCAGGTGACTTGTAGGACTTGTGGTAGCCAGGCAACTTGTAGGACGTGTGGTAGCCAGGCAACTTGTAGGACGTGTGGTAGCCAGGCGACTTGTAGTCCATTATCAGAGACAGTGTGTACACTATAATTACTGGGAGTAACTAGAAAATTATTCCTTTCGTACGCCTTCACTCAGGGCATCATTTCTTCTAAAAATGGCATTACATGAGAATGGGAGTGTTTTTCTTTATTTATTCTACTGTATCAACGTGGAGACAACTTGTACACAATGTAAAGTGACAAAAGTCAAATGCATTCGTCTGGTTTGTTTACATTATGTGTGGGTGGGGTGGGGAGGGCTTCCCTAGCTGGCTACCATACCTCCCAAATCTGACTTCCTACAAATAAAACTCACCTCTCATCCTACATTAAGACTACAAATATTTTAAGGTAATTAACCCTCTAACTGCCCAAACGTAGATCTACGTTTGTGCACATAGTGCTCCGCCCTTGATTTTCTCCATGAGAAAGAATATAAAAAACGTAGATCTACATTTGGACAGTTAAGGGTTAATGAATGTACTGTACATGTATTTTATCACTCTGGGGAGCTTTAATTAAATGTAGTATATTACATGTGGGTGGGGTGGGCTGACCTGGCTGGCTACCATACCTCCCAGACCTGACTTCCTACAAATTAAACTCATCTCTCACCCTACATTAAGACTACAAATATTTTAAGGTAAGTAATGGGTGTACTGTATGTGTATTTTACTTTTTATTGTTTTTAATGCCTAGTTGTATTTCTAACGTAATATATGTTAGTGTAAACCTGTTATCTGGCATTTAGATGCATTTATAAGTGGAAAAAAATGGTGTTCTGCTCTCCAGCGATGTCTGCTTTCTGGCACTACCTGGAACCTAACCTGCCATATAAGTGGGGCCCTACTGTATATGTGTATTTTACTTTTTTATTGCTTTTTAATGTGTAGCTCTTATGCTAGCTTAATATATGTTAGTTTAAACTTGTTATCTAGTATTTATATGCATTTATATGTGGAAAATAAGGGTGTTCCACTTTACGACAATTTCCGCTTTACTGCGGTAGCCTGGAACCTAACCTGCTGTATAAATGGGGCCCTACTGTACACTAGGTTCAGTCTTATCTCATGGATGAAGGTGTAAAATATTTTAAAAATGCATTCATACCAAGAGTTTTTAAGTGGGAAAGTAGTGTATAGTGTTTAGCTGTGTAATGGTAATCTTGGATGATTGCATTCTTTCATTTGTTAGTAAAGTTGCAATGAGTAAAATGAACATTTTCTATTGCAGTGACTATATCAAATATAATTTTCAGGGAGGCTTCATCATCAATAGAAGCTTGTGCAGTGTTGCAGCAGATGCAGCAACTGATGAAGAGCACCACTATGTACTTGCAGCAGCACCACACTCACCTGTCACAAACTGCTGCCTTATCTCCAACAGTATCTGAGCTGCTTTATGCTGTGCTGAGTGTAGTTCGTCATTCCAGTTGCCCCTTGGATCTGAGAATCAACTGTGGTCAGCTGTTAGTTGTAATTCATTGCATTTTATCTCAGGGAATGCTTGGTCAGCTTGTGCAACATGTAATGACTGGAGAGAAGCCATACAATGATCTTACAAGTGTGGCACAGTTGGCTCTCATTAATGGCATCTTGTGTGTTACGCCTAGCAAAGAGCTTTATATTACAAATGATGAGACCTTCCTTGGTGTTCAAGTGCTTCAAGCAGTTCTTACTCCTGTCTTACATTCTAATGATGGCAGTATTGCTGTTAGTACAATAAGAGTTATTTATCAATGGACCCTGCGCACTCTAGAAGCTTTACAATTTCCTTATTCAGTGAAAGAATTGAAAAGAGTATTAAAGTTTAGCTCACCTCTTGTGTCAAGTCTTTTGGACTACTTCTGGTTAGCATGGGATCATTTTCTGGATAGTGTCAAGCATACAACAAAGGAATGTTTTATGAATTTAGTAAAAATACTTCAGTTTATTGACTTAGAAAATAGCAAGCTTTATTTTTTAAATGTTTGCAAGATGTTTCTAAATCAGCTGAGTTCAAGGAAATATAGATGCAGTGCTGTAAGCTGTATGGTGCCTGTGGTTGGAACCCAAACTCTCCTGAAGCTCTATCCAAATTTGCTGCATGAGCTTCTAAATTACATGAAGGATCCAGCCATGGCGAGCCATGCAGCAGAATTGCTGGAGGCTCTTTTTACACAGCATGAAAAGGAAGTTTTGCCAGAGGATTGGCAAAGTATATGGCTTAACATTTTTATTGACTCATTTTCAAAAGAAATGCAAACATTTGGATATGAATTATTGTTTAAGAAACTGCTTGCCACTTCACCAGAGAGTCTAGATAATGCTGTAGCAAGACTCGTTCAGTGCTCAGAAAACCCTGTAAGTGAAAAGCTGTGTCTCCTGATCATGTGTGTAAAAATAGGCAGATGTTCACCACACTGGCTAAAAAATAATCATAGCAAGTATAATGGGAATGACAGTAGCCTGTGGAAATGTGTTTTGCCAAATAGAATCATTGAGCTCTGTCTCTCACACAAGGAGGAGTCGGTTCAAACAGCAGCATTTAGTCTCCTTTGTGAAAGCCCCAGATCTACAGAACTGCCTGAAAAGTATGAGCACCATCTTATCATAGACTATTTTACTTATAGCATAACAACTCAGAGCCCTTCATATAGGCAACATATGGTGAAAAGTACAAAGAAATTGCTTCTGAGAATCAAAGAGGGTTCAGTAGCTATGATTAAACTAAGAAAAAGCCAAGACATACACTCAGTTGATGCAGTCATCAATGAGCAAAGATTATTCTGCACAAAACTGTTTACAATGATGGTGGAGAATATTAACTGTGGAGCAAACAATGCCCGTAGAGGCACAGCTCTGCTCATCTTGCAGCTCTTTCATGAAATTATTCTAGGAAACTGTGGAGATATTCTTGGTTTAACTCACCTTTGTCATGATCATGTATACATTGATACACTTTTATGGGTGTTGAATGACTCATTTGAAACCAACAAAAGCATTGCTCTTAGGCTTTTATTTTCTGTTTCTGAAGACAATTGGGAAAGCATATATAGTGTCAAATTGTTCTCTCTTTTAAGAGCAGCCTCAAGCCTTGCTTCATCATGTAAACCTCCAGAGTCTTTATCAGCAGCTTACCTTTTCAAATTTTTGTCTAAACAGTCAGAAGCAGTAAAGATGATTGAAGATAGGCTGCCACAAGGAATTAATCCACAGAGCTCAAGAGAGATCCTGTGTATATACATAATGGAGTCTCTTGAAAAAGAAGTAAAATCTGCACATGAAAGTTTATTAATGGCTGCTGCATCAGGTCCCATGTATGGCAACCTATTGTGCTTAAAAGTTCTGCTCTCTGATATAACAGAACCAGAACTGATCAACTCTCTTGATTTTTGGATTCAACTGGTACAGAGAGTGTTGAAAATCTGTTACACAGTTTCTGAATTAGTAGCCCCAGTGGTTAGGAATTCTTCTCCAGAAGGTCATTTGCCAATGGATCTCAATCCTGAGAGCTTAGCAGCTTTGAGTGCTACTTTACAAGCATCTCTTGGAAATCAGCAGTTGCAAGGTGATATAATGCTTTCACAAGACTCAAAATGTGATGAGTTAGTGAAGGCTCAAGCTGTTAGTGCACAAATGTTGCTGTTATGTGCTTGGCGTTGCATAAAGGAAGTCTCATTGATATTAGGAGATCTAATACAACAACTGCCTCTCTTTCCTAGTGCCCATGCTGTGCTTACAATTGAGAATGTTATTGCTATAGGTCAATATTTTCTAACACAGTTATCGGAAACAAAACACAGAGGAGCTTTTGAGCAATCATACATTGGGTTTAGTAGAGTATGTGAACGATTATGGCAATGTGAGGAAGAACAATTAAGGAAACTGCCAGAAATGTGGCTTAGAGAAGTATTAACTTCAATACAAGATAATGATGACACACGACTTTGTGCCACTCGGCGCAGTGCTGGTGTGCCCTTCATTGTACAGGCTGTGCTGTCATCTGAGCCAAGTGTTAGGGGAGCAGTGTGTCTAAAGAATACTATGAAAATCTTGCTTCATTTGGCAGAAGAATCTCAGTATGATGGGACTGATTCCAGGATTCATGCATTCAATATTCTGAGAGCAATTTATCGGGATACAAGATTAGGAGATCGTGTAATACCATATGTTTCTACTGGAGTTAAAGCTGCAATAAGAGGATACAAAAGCACTTCTTGGGCAGAGCGTAATTCAGCAGCTCTCTTGTTCTCAGCATTAGTAACACGTATGTTTGGTGTAAAGCAAACACAAGATGATCTGAACCGTAAAAATGCCATGTCTGCTTTAGTTTTCTTTAGGAGATATCCAGACCTCTTTGAGTTTTTAAAGGATGAATTAAAAATTGGAGCTGCTGGCGTGAAGGAAAAAAAATTTGTGCCAGCATTATTTCCTTCTCTGTTACTCTTAGCTCGATTGTCACCAGCTCCTCTGGAGGGCCGTACTTCCACTGTTTCATTGAGTTCATTCACTCCAGCAGTGCTGCAGTGTGCTGCGTCTTCTGTACTACAACTGCGTGATCTTGCATCTCATGCCATTATTACCCTTGTCCCTCCCAGTCACCTCCATCAAGTTGTAAACCAACTTTGCAAGGAAGCTTGCCTCATGGATCAAAACAAGCTCCATGGGATCTTGCTCTGTCTTTTGAAGTTATTGAAAAGTTACAGTAGTAACATCTCTTCTGCTGAAAAGAATTCTGTTATGATGAACATAAGTGTAATATCATGGGCAGCAACAGAAAGTAATCCATGTTTAGTGACACGTGGGAGTGCTCTAGAACTCTTTACATTCCTATTCACTAGGTGTTTAATACCAAAGACGTCACTTGTATTAAAGTCTATTTGTTTGGCATCTTTTTCTCTAGTTTCATCAGATGATCTGGTGTCAGCCACCATGCCATGGTCAGCACTCTGTCAGAGGCAAGCAGCTCAGTTTCTCTTACATTGGTGCCACTCTGAGAAATCTGAAGCAATTAATATCATTAGTACCCTTATAAGTAGCAAATCTTACGAAGTTAGACTTTCTGCTTTAGAGCACATAGCTAATCAAAGTAATCATTCAGAGCTCATTATCAGGCAATTGTTGGAAAGAATGAGTGATATAGAAATTCATCCCGAGTGTCTTATCCAAATTTATAAGATTATGAGTAAGACAGTTTGTCTTCAAGTTAAAAATAATGTCATACAGAGAGAGTGTCTAACTCCTCTACTGCAGCACGTCACATCCCAGACCAAAGAAGAGTCTCGTGTGGAAATAATACCAGCACTGCTACAATTTGGCTCAACAATAGTCAGTGTGCTGTTATCCTTGGTATGTGTTCAATACTTTTTTGCTTCATATTCATCTTTGCTTTTTTACTTGCTCTTTTATGTTGTAATAATGTTTAACTTATATACATGTAGTGTAATTGCATAAATATAGATCTTGATAATCATCAACAGACTCTCTTGTTATTGGCATTATATTTTCAGCATTAACTCATGGAGGAGGTGGAACTCAAACTCATGGCAAGCCAATCCTAAATGAATAGGGAAGTGCTCTGATCACTAGAGCTGCTCAGTCTAGTAGCCAGAATACTGGCCTTCTGGTTTTAGAACCAGCTTACAGTGGCTTTGAGTCCTGTCTATTTTCTGAGTTGTTTGCAATCATGTTATTAATATTTTTGGTACGGGTCTCCCTCGCTTAAGAACATAAGAAAGAAGGAACACTGCAACAGGCCTACTGGCCTATATGAGGCAAGTCCAATTCTCCCACCAGCTTAGGCCAATGCCTTGATCTAGTGAGGTCAGACACGTCACTTAAGGGAGGAGCGCACCATCCATCCTAATAGCACAAGCTAATCAGGTCCAACTCACACCTACCCACACCCACTCATGTATTTATCCAACCTATTTTTAAAACTACACAATGTCTTAGCTTCTATTACGGTACTTGGGAGTTTGTTCCACTCATCCACAACTCTGTTACCAAACCAGTGCTTTCCTATATCCTTCCTGAATCTGAATTTTTCCAATTTAAAACTATTGCTGCGAGTCCTGTCTATGTTAGATATTTTTAGCACGCTATTTACATCCCCTTTATTAATTCCTGCTTTCCATTTATACACCTCAATTATATCCTCCCCTAATTCTATGCCTTTCTAGAGAGTGCAGATTCAGGGCCCTCAGTCTATCCTCATAGGGAAGATTTCTGATACATGGGATCAACTTTGTCATATACATTCTGTAATATGGTGACCAAAACTGCTCAGCATAATCTAGATGAGGCCTAACCAAAGATATATAGAGTTGAAGAACAACTTGAGGACTTCTATTATTTATACTTCTTGCTATAAAGCCAAGGATTCTTTTAGCTTTATTGCGAACACTTAGGCACTGTTGTCTTGGTATCAGATTACTGCTAACCAGAACTCCAAAATCCTTTTTGCAATCTGTAATATTAAAATCTACATTATTTAGTTTATATGTGGCATGGTTATTTTCCTGTCCAACATTTAGAACTTTGCATTTGTCTATATTAAACTGCATCTGCCACTTCTCCAACCACTGCATCAGTCTATTCAGATGCAGTTCTGTCTAATGGTGCATGCAGCAAGCACATTATAGCATGCATATCATTGGGATTCATTCCAAGACTTCACAAATTCCACATTTGTTGACTAATGTTTACAAAAAATATGACCTTAATGCATATGTAACAACTAGTAATATTTTTTTTTTTTTCAACAAGTCGGCCGTCTCTCACCGAGGCAGGGTGACCCAAAAAGAACGAAAATCCCCAAAAACAAAATACTTTCATCATCATTCAACACTTTCACTTCACTCACGCATTATCACTGTTTTTGCAGAGGTGTTCAGAATACAACAGTTTAGAAGCATATACATATAAAGATACACAACATATCCCTCCAAACTGCCAATATCCCGAACCCCTCCTTTAAAGTACAGGCATTGTACTTCCCATTTCCAGGACTCAAGTCTGGTTATATAAAAATAACCAGTTTCCCTGAATGCCTTCACTAAATATTACCCCGCTCACACTCCAACAGCTCATCAGGTCCCAAATACCATTCGTCTCCATTCACTCCTACCTAACACGCTCATGCACGCTTGCTGGAAGTCCAAGCCCCTCACCCACGAAACCTCCTTTACCCCCCTCCCTTCAACCTTTTCGAGGATGACCCCTACCCCGCCGTCCTTCCCCTACAAACTTATACACTCTCCATGTCATTCTACTTTGATCCATTCTTTCTAAATGACCAAACCACCTCAACAACCCCTCTTCAGCCCTCTGACTAATACTTTTAATAACTCCACACCTCCTAATTTCCACACTCTGAATTTTCTGCATAATATTCACACTACACATTACCTCTAGACAGGACATCACTGCCTCCAACCGCCTCCTCGCTGCAGCATTTACAACCCAAGCTTCACACCAATATAAGAGTGTTGGTACTGCTATACTTTCATACATTCCCTTTTTTGCCTCCACAGATAAGTTTTTTAGTCTCCACATATACCTCAATGCACTACTCGCCTTTCTTCCTTCATCAATTCTATAATTAACCTCATCCTTAATAAATCCATTCGCTGACACATCAACTCCCAAATACCTGAAATTATTCACTTCTTCCATACTCCTCCTCCCCAATTTAATATCCAATTTTTCTTTATCTAAATCATTTGATGCCCTCATTACCTTACTCTTTTCTATGTTCACTTTTAACTTTCTGCCTTTACACACACTCCCAAACTCGTCCAGTAACCTTTACAATTTTTCTTTAGAATCTCCCATAAGCACAGTATCATCAGCAAAAAGTAACTGTGTCAATTCCCATTTTGTATTTGATTCCCCATAATTTAATCCCACCCCTATCCCGAACACCCTAGCATTTACTTCTTTTAGAACCCGATCTATAAATATATTAAACAACCATGGTGACATTACACATCCCTGTCTAAGACCTACTTTTACCGGGAAGTAGTCTCCCTCTCTTCTACACACCCTAACCTGAGCCTCAATATCCTCATAAAAACTCTTTACAGCATTTAGTAACTTACCACCTATTCCATATACAGTGCACCCCAGCCTTACGATCAGCTCCCAACTTGAACAATTATGTAAGTGTATTTTTGTAAGTGCTTTTGTACGTGTATTTTTGTGGGTCTGAAACGGACTAATCTGATTTACAATATTCCTTATGGGAACAAATTCATTCGGTAACAGCACCCGAACAGACTTCTGGAATGAATTAATATCATAAGTCGGGGGTGCACTGTATTTGAAGCATCTGCCACGATTGCTCCCCCATCCACTCTATCATATGCCTTTTCTAAATCCATAAATACAATAAAAACGTCCCTACCTTTATTTAAATACTGTTCACATATATGCTTCAATGTAAACACTTGATCTACACATCCCCTACCCACTCTAAAAACCTCCTTGCTCATCTGCAATCCTACATTCTGTCTTACCTCTAATTCTTTCAATAATAACCCTAACATACACTTTTCCTGGTATACTCAGTAAACTTATTCCTTTATAATTTTTACAGTCTCTTTTGTCCCCCTTCCCTTTATATAAAGGGACTATACATGCTCTCTGCCAATCCCTAGGTACCTTCCCCTCTTTCATACATTTATTAAACAAAAATACCAGCCACTCCAACACTATATCCCCCCCCCTGCATTTAACATTTCTGTCATGAACCCGTCAGTTCCAGCTGCTTTACCCCCTTTCATTCTACGTAATGCCTCACGCACCTACCCCACACTCACATCCTGCTCTTCTTCACTCCTGAAGATGGTATACCTCCCTGGCCAGTGCATGAAATTACCGCCTCCCTTTCTTCGTCGACATTTAAAAGTTTCTCAAAATATTCTCGCCATCTACCCAATACCTCCACCTCCCCATCTACTACTCCCCTACTCTGTTTTTAACTGACATATCCATTCGTTCCCTAGGCTTTCTTAACTTGTTTAACTCCCTAAAAATTTTTTTCTTATTTTCATTAAAATGTCTTGACAGTGCCTCTCCCACTGTATCATCTGCTCTCCTTTTGCACTCTCTCACCACTCTCTTCACCTTTCTTTTACTCTCCATATACTCTACTCTTCGTATAACACTTCTGCTTTGTAAAAACCTCTCATAAGCTACCTTTTCTCTTTTATCACACCCTTTACTTCATCATTCCACCAATAACTCCTCTTTCCTCCTGCACCCACCCTCCTATAACCACAAACTTCTGCCCCACATTCTAATACTGCATTTTTAAAACTACAGTATTCCAACCCTCTTCAACCCTCCCACTACTCATATTTGCTCCAGTCCACCTTTTTGCCAATACTTGCTTATATCTCACCCAAACTTCCTCCTCCCTTAGTTTATACACTTTCACCTCCCTCTTACTTGTTGTTATCATTTTCCTCTTGTCCCATCTACCTCTTACTCTAACAGTAGCTACAACTAAATAATGATCCGATATATCAGTTGCCCCTCTATAAACGTGTACATCCTGGAGCCTACCCATCAATCTTTTATCCACTAATACATAATCTAATAAACTACTTTCATTATGTGCTATATCATACCTTGTATATTTATTTATCCTCTATTTCATAAAATATGTATTACTTATTACCAAACCTCTTTCTACACATAGCTCAATTAACCCTTTCAGGGTCGACAGGCCCTCTCCCAGACTTGTTCTCAGGGTCGAAAAATTTTCAAAAAAAAAAAATTATTTTTTCTTATGAAAAGATAGTTTTTTTTTAAATCTTATAGGCTAAACAATGAATTTTTCCATCAATACTTACCAAGATATGGAAGCATGAAGTTGACAGAAAATGACCGGCATACGGCAGCATCGCCGACTGCCAGTCACCCGGTTTTAGTTTATTTAGTTTTTTGGTATTATTTTCTATTATTTTTTTTTTTCAAGTAACTTTTATGGGCTGTGAGACCAATATGAGCACTATTTTGTAAGTTTTTCTCTTTATTTACTACACAATAACTGCACAAACACTGTTGTCACTATATTGTTTATAATTGTTGTTTACACACACAAATGATATAAAATGTTATTTATTACTATTTTTCTTTATTTTATATACATATATACAGTCACAGGGAATGTTTCTAGAAGTTCTGCAGCCTGTGGAACTCTTTGAAACATGGTGTCATGCACACTGGTGTTTTACACTCTTCACACATAAAACGAGTGTCTGCATTGTTGTGGGCGTTTTTTTGTATGTGCACAGACGTAACACCTCTTCTGAGCCTTTTTCTTGAAAGCATTAGCAGGC